GACACCAGCACGTTGGCCGGTTTTATGTCCAGGTGAACGATCAGATGGGAGTGAAGGAAATGTAAACCGCGCGCGATGTCCAGAGAGTGACTGAGCCACCAACCGGGCTCCAGGGTCTCCTCCGCGCAGCCGTAAATCATCTGCTGGAGATTCCTGCTTCCGACATATTCCATCAGGATGGCCCCGATGCTGCTTTCGTCTCCGAAGTCGCTCGGCATGCAAGTCGTGGCCGCGATGACCCGCACGATGTTCCGATGGCGAAGGTGCGCGGCGTTCAGTTCGGCCCAGAAGCTCTGGCGAGAAGCCAGTTCGTTTTTGGCGCACTTCTTGACTTTTTTCAAAGCGACGGTCCGCCCGAGGTATTTTGCCTTGTAGACGGAGCCGAAGCCCCCGGAGCCGACGGGCTGGACGCAGTGGAGCTCCTTCCAGTAGATGACAGATGACCACGGGCGGCTGGTCACTTTACCCTGGAGTCGCTGGCTTGGGACCTGTAAAGTGGAGCCAAACGAGGGTTTGATTAAAGGGCTGCTACAAGTCCCGATGTCCACGGAGGGGAAAATGTCGTTGGGGAGAAAACGAGTGGGGGGAGCCGGAGAAGGCATTGCATTGCATTGCGCTGCGCTGCGCTACACAGCCCGGACTCGGTTTGTGTGTGCGTGTGTGCCTCTTTTCCGAAACGGCTTCTATCGACCGCCCTGGTCTCACATTCCGACACCTGTTTTCAATTTACGTTTATCAGAACTTGGACGCGCGGCATTCTCAAACGAAAAGCACACGAATACACTACTGGGATACCACCTTTGTTTTTACAAGCGAATGGCGCGTGCTTGTGACGTCACTTAGACGCGACCGAGTTCAAATATGTCAAGGTTTCCTGATTTCGGTCAAACTTTCTCTTGATTGATTGCTGGTTCCATTTGTATTGATGAATCTCGTTAAAGAGCTCATTTACTCGTCATTTCCGTTGTGAAATGTCAATTGCGGTCAATAATCCCCCCGCCCAAAAAAAAAACGGCCATACACGCATAGACTGGTCTGTTCATAGGGGCATACAGAGCACGTATTTAGTTTGAATAGACCATGGTGTGCAATGGTACGTTAACGCCACCGCCGTATTGAATGTGGCAAAGTAACGCAATAGGTGAAAATGCTTCATTTGTCACGAGGAAACGAAGCAACGGTTTTCAACTCAAAACCAGATGTCACGATGTCATGGGATAAAGACTGAAGACTGAACCGTCTGTGGCCATTACAGCATCATTTGCAAATAGAACTTGCTGACTTCGTGTGTTATTCTTTAGTCCAGTATGCGCTTTAAACTCCACCGCGAATTCCCACGGTGAAACCAACCTACGAGCAAAGTCGTTTCGATTCCGGATGAATTATTCTGGTTGTTGTTGGTTGCGTAGCTGACATTTTACAGACTGTGCAACATAGTTTTGCCGCAGTTAAAAACGCCAAACCTCACCTGGGAGTACGATCGACCTCTCATTTCAAGAAGTGTCTTTTTGTTTCCTTCAAGGATGACAGTCTTTGACATTTTTGATAGGCGGCGACAGAATGAGAATGGACGCCAAGCAATACTTAAAGTGTGGATCAATAAGTTTGAATGTTTTATTCAAGCAAAAAAATGTATCATTGTTCCAACACGTTGGAAGGTGGAGCATAGACAAAAAAAAAAGCACAAAACATAAAATGTTCTCATGTTTATTGAACTTTCAATACATCGCATTTAAACAATGGAGTTGACAATGTCGCCGCCCCCCCTATTAATAGCAGCAAGGTGTGTAAATAAAATTCAGGTTATTATGCAAAACAATAAATAATCTGCCTCTTTGGATTATGTCAGTGTTTTTTTTAATTCTGTTTTACAAAGACTAAAAATGTATCTAAATATTTTTGATATATACACTTTCAGTACTATATACATATATGCACACAAATAAGCAAATATACGTGTGTTGATATAGATGTATTGTATATATAGTACATACTGTATATTATATACACACACACACATACAGTCTATATAAGGACATATTTATACTGTATCTATATACATATGCATATAAATACATTGCCCGTATGTATGAAAATATAACAGTAGTTTTAAAAACAGGTTTTTAGTTAAATATTGAGAGTTACCATCATTCACGCAATCAATTCCATCACTGATATGGGATGGCAACGTTATAACGCAACACATAAAAATACTAACATGGCTGGAATGCGCTGAATTGAATAGATTTCATCTCATTTTGGATGTTGTCACATGTACATCACCCCCCCCCCAAAAAAAAAATCATAAATCACGTCTGCTATAGCTCTCCCAATGACAAGGCTTCCCAATATCGGTAAAACAAACACAGGTGGGGCAAATAAAAAGGGGTTGCTTGTGAGACACGGTTTGTAAAAATAAAGAGCAAACGTGTCACAGTACAGTCAAACGAAATCAAAAGGATATCGTACAGCCAGTCGTGCACATGCCAGCTGCTCGGCTGAAATGACTACTTTTCAACAAACAATTCCTTTTCAAAGTAGAAAAAGAGTTGTGTAGCACCTCGAGGAGCTTTCGAAGTCTGTTAGCAGCTTGATCCACTAGATTCTAGCAGTGTTTCTTCCATACACATTCAATAATGATTTGCCGGTACCACTGAGGGTTTTTCAACAGGTTTGGAAGGCAAGGCGGAGGGAAGTTTGCACAAAGGACCGTGGGAACGTCCGCTGATTTTTTTTTTTTTTTTTTCTCTTCATGATCCTGATTTTCTATCCGTCCGCTGATGTCCGTTTGACGTCTTTCCTCCCTGCCACCTCCAAATGCTGTTTGGTCGTCTTCTCCGATAGCAGCTTTTAGGCATGAAAATACGAGACGCAAATTAAAACGTCAGCTTTCCGCCAACAACTTTTCCTCACGCCGAGGTCCAAACCCGGCAGAAGACTACATCTATTTCAGGTTTGAGTTGAACATGTGCAAGTCATGCAAAAATGATGCTTTGAAACAAAAACAACAAAAAAAAGCAAAACGCTGTGCACATGTACCTGGCAAAGCAAAACAGCTCTATTGACACGTTATAGCCCTCAATGTCATCTCTCCATTCGTGACAAAAGGCAGCGGAGAAAATGAAGTGTTGCCGGAGAGAGCGGTTTGCTTCCAATTTCTCTGAAAAGCACACAGCTCGGAATCGGGGGCAAAGCAAAGACATTGACCTCGCTCGGCCTTCCGTCTCGGCGCGTGGCCTTCTCCGGGGACCAAACGGACACCAACGATCGGACGAGTGAAGCGCCCGAGCGCAAACGCCAGATTCTCGCGGGGCACCGCAAAGTGCTAACACTGATCATCGGGACTCGAGCGTTCCACGGAGCCAAGGCTGAAAGTTGTTTAAGTAGAAAACGCAAAGGTGGCATCCAGCGTCGCCATCCGCGCCGCCCTTGACTTTTGTCGCCTTTTCCAGGCTTTGTGCACCCCGTCGCTTCCTTTTCTCCTTTGGCATTTTTGTATCGTCGCTTACGTTCACCGTTGAACGCGAGGGCATTTGGAGCCCGATTGGACGCGCGTGCTTGGAGGCTCTCGATCAACAGCCGCAACGTTCCTCCATCCGGCCACAACGCAGCCAACGCACCGAGCGGCTCCAGAAATATAGTCGCCGTCGTGACTGAGCTCAATATCATCGCAATGATTTGACAACAAAAACACAGATTTGATCACAGGCACATTGGGCGGCTGCTCGTCGGAAGCGCATTTTCTACTTTGCGAGTCCTTCATGTAGGATCCATCGAGCGCAAAGACCGTGAGCGTTCATTGAATTGAGATCATCACATCAGTCGCTCAACTATCAAATCTCGGTCTTCCCATTTCGACATTTACATTGACAAAGTGCAGCTGATAAAGTGGACGCGCTTCACCGGGAGGGAAACAAATCCGCTCGGGGGAAAAGTCTCCCAAATTGACAGAGCAAAACTCATTTCCAATTCTCAATTCCAAGAATGGCGCACCATGCCATGTCTCGCCTTGTGATGGCGCCATCTCCGTTTTGTTTTGGGGTTTTTGTTTTTTTTTTGTGTTCAGTTTCATGAGAGAATGTTAAGAAAGCTCGGCGTGCCAAAGACGGGGAATCTCAGACAAATATGGTATGGTAAGTGCTTCTGGGTAGCTGGGAATAGCATTTCAATTCTCTATCAAGCAAAAAGAATTTTGACACGTCACAGAAAAGGGTGGTTAACTCGGCCAAATTGGATGGATTCGGGGGGGGGAAAAAAGAGGCCCAAAACCACAAATGAGTGGAATTGTGCAATTTAGGAACCGAAAATGATGAGTCCGTTTGATGCGCGATTGAACTTGTTGGAATGGAACGCCTTTCAGTGACACTTGCGGGCTCTCCATTGCCCTCCCAACGGCACGTTTGAACTCTGGCATTTGTGCCGTGGTGTCAAAATGTCAACGGCGTGACGACGAGGAATGGCGTCAACGGACGATTGAGGCTGCGGTCAGGTTTTGGCGGCGAGCAGCCGAGTCGACCGCTGTCGGGTTTGACTTTCTTCGATTCGGGGGACGACTCAACGCTCAATCGCGGAAGGTATGGAAAAAAAAAATTGAGTGGATTCAAATAACGGGAGCACAAAGACGAAATGTCAGTGAGGCAAAACACAGCAATGAACCAGGCTGGTATTTTGGAAAAACGTCAAGTCGGCGTCCTGTTGCCGATGGGACTTATGACCACCTTGTTGAGATTATGCGGCCGGCTCGATTTCCTAGCAATGACATTTCAATTCGGAGGTTTTGGCACTCGTTTGCTAGAAGCGGAAGAGAGCTTCACATTGGATGTCGAGGACATCAAAAAAAAAAAAAAAAAC